TAATTTTAGCTATAACATAGTTGTCAGAAACAGCTGCTTATTTATAATTACATGGAAAATCCTGACCTTATTTTGAGTATTTTTATATGATATAAAATCAGAAGACATTTAATTAGACTACCATATTTATTTTCATTTGATGAGTCAGTGATTTCTCTAAATGTAACATATGTAAACTATATTAATTTAATCATGCAATAGGAATACAAAAGTGTGTTGTTACTGATTAAATGATTACTGCAACATCTTGCAGACTCAGCATTGAGAAAAATTATGGGAGCAATTACAGGAAAAGCACTTGATTTCAGTAAATAGTGGGGGAAAAATGATAAAGCAGGAGCTGGAAAAAATTGTAAAGAGGTAAAATTACAATGTTTTAGGACAATTTCAGTGGGATTAAAAAACACACACTTTTGAGGAACACAAGTGCCTGCAATAAAAGCTAACTTTTCATAATATTGGTTGATTTTAGTAATGAAACCTTCATGGACTTCTTATTGCATTACTCATGGCATCAGTGAGAGTGGCGGTCTGAAAAATAAAAGCTAGACACGATCCCAGTATGGGGGAACTGGAATAGTTTATTGAACATAAGAACACTATTTTAAAGGCATCTGGGGTTGGACATGTTAATGAAGGGGACGAGCTATGTTAATTAGGGAATTACACAAATTTTTACTACCATTGCCCAATGAGTTAAATATTTCCCTCAACCAAGATTACATAGGGGGAAACGGATTAAAGGGGTTTAGACACGGTCTGACACAATCATCTCAAGAGTCCTTTCTGATTTCTGCTGGAGCCAGGCTTAATCCATAAGGTAGAACTTTAACAGGTCTTGTGAGAAGGGTCCAGCTCCTTCAGATCACGAGGTTCTTGTCAGCCCTTGTTTTCCTTTGCTGAAAGCTGGGTTTGGGCACCCACAAGTGAGTCTGAAAAGCCATCCTATTCCACTTTTTCAGATGACATTTTTTCTAAATATTTACTTTTGTACAGTTGGAAAAATGCAAACATTGCCATTTTCATGATGTTACCATGCATGTAATCTCACAACAAAATTTATTTTTTTTTAGGAACCGTATTAGGGGGTTTTTTTCCAAATAATAATTGACTCTTAGATGAATAACAGGAAAACACTGAAAAGAGCATTCTGCATCTATTAGAATTCTATTTTCAGAGCAATTAAGAGATTTTACAAAGGAATAACAAAGAATTATTTCAGAAATAATAAAATGGTTATAAGAAACCTTTACTCTTTTACATAAGAAAATATAAATAGAAGTAAACTGTATAGGAGACGTGAGACAATGTTTCAGGAAGGGTGTGCTGACCTGAGGGGTCAGGTGTGCTCTGGGCAGCTGCTGTAAATGGTCTATTGATAACAGTGTCTGGAAAATGGCACGAAAGTCTATAGAGCACACAGTTTTGGGTTACGCCCATCCAGTGATGAACTGGTCCCAGCTGTTCTAACTAGGACAAAGAGATGTGAAAAATACTTGATAGATATCATCTGAATTTTAGAGAAGAAAAATGTTATTTTGCATGAGGTTGTTGGATTTCAGTTGCAAAATCTTAGTGTGAAGAAACCAATTAGAAATTAAGTGAAACAATCTCTTCTTTAAGTTGCATTTTGAAAAAAAAAGCCAACCCCCACACTTCATATGCATTTATATTAAATTACAAATTCAGCAAACCATTTAAGCACATAATTAGTTATAGGCAAGTGGTTAAGTGCTATTGACTTCAAGTTAAGATTATGCTTAATTGCTTTGCTGAATCGGAGTCTCCAAAATGTTTAATAAGTCTTGGATTTTTTTAGAAAACAGGATAAAATCATCATAGCTTTGTGATTCTCTTGGATTTAGTTACATAAATACCTGGTCTTATTATGTATTTCAGTACATGACTCTTAGTCTCTGATGTGTTTATCTGCCCAACTAGCCTTTCACTTTACAGGTAGGAAATTAAGACTATCAATATGCCCACGCTGATAACTCAGATTTGAGCTAGATGCAATCTGGCTGATGGAGGTGGGAAGTCAGAGCAGCATGTTCTGCCACTGATGAAGAACACAGGATCCCAGACAGGCTCATACAAACTAGTTCAGAAAACACATTTTCCTCTAGGAATGTAATAATTTAGAAGATAAAATTGTTATACATATGTATTCACATATATATATATATGTATATATATATATATACACATACACATGCAAACCTGAAAATTACTAAAAAAAATACAACGGAATGTTTCTGAGGCCAAAGAAAAGCACAATCAATTGATTTGTTAAAGACTGGAGTTGTTAAAGTACATGATAATACCACATACATATTGAAGGACCAATACAGTAACACTCTAGGGTTTTTCTTTCTGCAATAGCCCTTCTTTCTATAATAAGATGAAATGTAGACAGATTTTTTTAAGTCATCATTTATTTATGAGATAGCTTAAGTCTAATGCAAAACTACTTAAGAAACCCAAATGTCTCATCTGAATTTCCAAATGAGTAGCAAGCATTATTAGAGCATTAGTCTTCCAAATGTAGATATAACTGGCAAACGAAAAGGAAACTGAAATCTCAGAGAATCTACATTTAACCTTTCTTTCTCTTTGAATAAGGAAACTGGTTTAAAAATGCAATTTCTTCCTTTGTTTCTATATGCATCTGTTGTGGGCCATAGGAAACCTCTGAAGAAATGAGTTCCACAGCATTAACTAATTAATCTTAACAGTTGCAATGCAAGGTACATTGGGTTTATTATTGCCCATTTTCCAGATGAGAAATAGACAGATTTGTTTAAGGTAATAAAATGAGGCAACGGCAAAGGAGAGGGAAGTACTCATGTTTTATGCTCAAAGTTCGGGCAGTCTCTGCAGTAACATGATCTATTTTAGACATTAGTGCAATTTCAATGTCCATAATACTATGTGATCTCAGTCTGGACTGAGATACCACCTCAGTAAAGCAATGTTGCAGAGAAAGAGTATGGAAACTCAGGCAGTCTACACTCCTTTCCACACACATAACTGTCTCCTCAAACTGTGCTTCAAGGACAAACCCTAAAGGCACCATGCCCAATCAGATTTCAAATGTCTCTAGACACCATAAATTCCAATCATTTTCTTACCTTTTCCCCTGCTCTTAATAGGAGGCAATTTCTATTTCTTCTGAATTGGCTTCTCACGTGCTTTAGCTGCTTCTTTAGAGCTGTCCTGGAGCTGTGCTGACTGCTAGATTCACTTGGCAATAAAGTTGGCTTTTGGCATCCTAAAAATTCGGTGATGTTGCCTGCACAGCCAATATGTCTTACAGACTGCCAGGACAATCTTTACGGCATACTCTATTCTTCAAAACACACAGCTGAGCCTGAGGCACAGTCTGGGGCTGATGAATAGGAGGAACATCTCTTTCTATAGAAGGATGAGATATTCTAGGAGGAAGAGCTGGCTGAAGAGTAAGCTCCCAGGGAGAGTCTTTAAAACTAAAGCAAAAGGTAACCATTCATTCACACTGGCAGATCCAAGAGGCAGAGCAATAAACTGGCATGGAGATAGACAGTGCTGAAGAACACTCAAGGCTCTGCTATTAGGACTAGTTCACTACAAATGAAGAATGATCAGTTTATAGAAAAAAGAGAATTCTGAAAAACAATTTATGCAACTGCCTCCTCAAAGCAGAGCTAACTACAAGTTTAGATTATGCTGTCTAGATAGTTCATCCAGGTTGAAGGGGTTGGTTGTTGGGGGAGCCTCTCTCCTTTACCCAAAATCTGTGGAGTATGACACTTCTACCATGTTGATGGAAGAAATAACTGAGTTTCTGAACATGTAACCATATATCAGGACCTATAGGGAGGGGTAAACTTCAGTCTTGGAAAGTGTTGTAGCAAGAACCTGATCATGGAGGCTCAGTGTGCAGTTGGATAAACAGGTTTTTGTTGTTAAGAGAGAGAAAGAAATAATTGCTGCTGCCCTATCTTTTACTAAAATGGGGCCTTTATGAAGAAGCAGTAAATGGAACTGGAGGAAAAGATAATGGTGAATGCTTGGGATATAGTAATTGGTATGGTTAAACTATAATTCACCATGTGAGGTGTGAGTAGCAAATGTGATCTTTGGAGTCAGGATGTGCAGCACTAATCAACCTTGTCCCCTTTGCAATGGGTTGCAAAATAGGCTTCAGATATGTCAAAAAAACAGAAAGATGTGGTTTTCCTTTTAGTACTATTTAACTGATAATACACTTTACTCTCTGTAAATAGTATCCCTACTGTTTTCTGTGGCTGAATGTGTAGACTGACAGGTATGATGGAATGAGAATGTATACAGAATTATGAAATGGTTTTCAACATACTGACTTGTGCTGGTTTAAAGGTAAACCAGCAGGGGAAATGAATCCAACTCAAAAGAGAGATTATAAGTCAGAATAACAATTTAATAAAATAATACAATAAGTACGATTATACAGACAAACAATTGGTTTTAACCCACAAAACCCAAATGTATAACTCAGAACCCTGAGGCATGAACAGAGTGGTGTTCGTTGGGCCCCCTGAGTCCAAAGTAAAGGGAGAGAGGAAAACCTGTTGGTGAGAGTGCTGTTGCAGTCTGGTCCAGAGTGGTGATTGCAGTCCGGTCGAAGGTGGTGGTCGCAGTCCAGTTGAGAGTGGTGGTTGCAGTCCAGTTGAGAGTGGTGGTTGCAGTCTGGTTGAGAGTGGTGGTCTGCAGTCTTCCTCTGGATCCCACGAGTGGTTAAAAAAGTTCCAAGACTCCAAGATTATATATTCTCCAGTTCAGGCAGGAATGCCTAGTACTTCCCTCAAGGCGAGGAGTTCCACAATGGGTGTGAGGTATGAGGACAGGGGGCACCCTCCTATCCTGCAGGCCTCTTAACACCTAGTTTATAGCCTGAGGAGTCAGGCTGCTCTGGGCAGATGGTGTAAATAGTCTATTGATAACAGTTTCTGCAAAATGGCATGGGAGGCTATAGAATACACAGTTTTGGGTTACACCCATACAGTGATGAACTGGTTCCAGCTGTTCTAACTAGGACATGACTTCTACCTGCCTTTGAGCTGGCATGTAGACCTCTGGATAAAATAACTGAGGAGCACAGTGACTCCAGTTAAAGCCAAAAGCTGAAGAAGTACTTTTCAAGGCAAAAAAATGAATGTTAAATGGGGGCAGATAAATTTAACTAATTGAACATGTCTATTTTGGAAGAGATGTTCGTCTCAGTTTAGATGTAGTTGGTATAAATCATTAAACACTATCCACTATTGCAAACACATTTTGCTGTTACAATCTGTTCAGCTTTCATAGCTCTACAAAGGTGCCAAGCTGGTGCATCCTTCGCTGTACGGTATCTTGAGTACTTTGACAGCTCTAGTCAGTTTCCACAGTAAATTACCTGTCTTGTTAAAGATTTATGTTTAAAGAATTCCTGTAATAAAAAGTGTTAAGGACCAGAGCCAAATTCACAATTTATTGGAATCATGGAATAATTTAGGTTGGAAGGGACATGTGGTCCTGTGCTTAAAGAATTTCTAAGTAGAGCAGGTTGCACAGGGCTGTGTCCAGTCAAGTTTCAGACACCTCTGAGGGCAGAGATTCCACAAACTCTCAGGGCAACCAGTTTCTGGGCTTGAGAAACTTCATGATAAAACTAGTTTCTCCCTATATCTACGTGTCACTTCCCATGTTCCAGCTGGTGTCCAATGCCTCACAACCTATTGCTGCACCCTTCTGGTAAGAGCATGGCTCCATCCATTCAGCTTGCAGACAGAAACAAGGACTCCCTTGAGATTTCTCTTTTTAAGGCAAAATAAACCTCATTTCCTCAGCCTGTCCTCATCCATCATGCCTTCCAGCTTCTTGGTGTTATGACCCACCTCTGGAGGCGAGGGCAACCCAGGCACTTGTTAATAGATTCCTTGGGGTGGATTAGAGTGAAACAACACTGAATGATCAGCGTTTGTAAGTATATATACATATAGGGTTTATTTTAGAACAATTTGGTTGGAATGGAAAGTAGATATGTAGCCATTTTGATTATTATTTATAATAATATAGCAATTTAAAAGCAAAAAAGTAACACTTCAGAAAATGTATAAGGGTAGAGAAAGAAAGGGTAAGAATAGAAAGGTATGTAGTCCCCACCTGTGAGTTCAGCAGCAAGACTTGGTTGTTGTAATTTTGATGTCCTTTGGTCGAAGCGATGGTAGCAGTCTTTACTGAAGTGATGGTTGTAGTTTTGATCCATTGGGCGGTGGGGAAGCCCAAGAAACACAAAGCCCTGTAGCAGTAAACCTGCATTATATGGGAAAACTGTTGTTTAAACATGTCTTAAAATGGCTTTTTGTGGTCTCTTTGCAAACACATGCTTCTTCTTCCCAACACCCCCCACGACAAGTGTTATCCCATTCAGGAATGTCCTGAGAAGATATCCTGAGGTGTTCTCATTGGCCCCTTTTAACCCCTTCCTATTGGTTGTTAACCCCTTCCTGCAACCTGTAATTGGTTACTCTGTGAATCCTCCTAACCCTATAAATGTAACCCCCCCAACAATACACACTCTCTTGCCTCCTCTCCACGCCTGTGTACTGTCTCTGTGCTCTGAGCACCTCTCCCCTCCAGGCTCAGGACCTGAAGAAACCCCTGGTGCTGGAGTTCCCTTTCCCTATCCACCTCAAGCTGTCGGAAATGGTTCCTCAGGTGGAAATGGAAGTAGAACTGGGCCGCCCCACGCCATGGGGGAAAGGGATCCAGAAAACCCAGTGCGTTAATATTATGCTCAGGCTCAGAAGGAATGTCCAGATACACTGAATGATATAACACTTTGGATCATGGGACACTTCATGAATCTTTGATGGTTCATAACACCTTCTGAGACATTACAGCTGCCAATTATGCCTCATCAGAAAGTATGAATACATGAGAATGTCCTGGTACTTCCTGGAGGGGAGTTTTCACAGCTGAGCCACTTGTGTAAGGACTTGGGCATGATAAAAAGCATTATTCCACCTTGTAGGATTTGCATCTTATCAGCCTCTTCCCTGATCTTGTACAACACCCTTGGTGGTGGGTGTACACCCCATCTGCACCCAGGCGGTTACTTTGTGCATTGCCACCAAAGCACCCTGCTGATTGTTTCAACCACTAACAGTCCAGCCTCTCACACTTGGCCATCTTGCTCACCCTCCACTTGACTCACTTGAGTATGTTAATGTCTTTTTTGAAAAGGGGAGCCCAGAACCAGACACAGCACTTAAATGCACTCTCAGAAGTGCCAAACAAGGGGGAAAGGATCATGCCCCTGAAACTACTGACCGCATTCTTGATAACAATGCTCAGTATGTAGCTGACTTTCTTGCTGCTTAATAGCATTCAACTTGTTGTCCGTCAACTTTTCAAAGCTCTTTTTTCTGCCACTTGGCCTGCCACAAGCCTCTGCTGTTGCATGAGCTTACTCCTCTCTTGGCATAGGGCTTGACGCTTGTGTTGAACTTCATGAGGTTCCTGTTAATGCCTTTCTCCAGCCTGACCAGGTCCTTCTGTACAACAGTCCTCCAGTGTATTAACTGCTTCTCCAAATTTGGTACCATGGGCAAACTTGCTGAGAATGCATTGTGTCCCAATATCGAGACCATTAATGTAGACAGACACTGAACAGTCCCAGTACCGATCCCTGAAGGTTGCCACTTGCTACTGACCCCCAGATAAATTTTACACCACTTATCATAGTCCTTTGAGCTTGGCAGTCCAATCAATTTTCCATCTAACTTGTTTTCCATTTATCCAGCGTATATGTCACCAGTTTGATAATAAGGAGACTTTATAAGAGTGTGTAAAAGGCCTTGTTAAAGTCAAAGCATACACCATCCACTGCCCCTCCCTTTTGTCCACAGCAGCAGCACTCGTCTCATCATATAAAGGTGGTCTGCCATGATTTGTGCATGCTAAATCTATGTTGGCTGCTCCCAAATACCATTTTGTTCTTCATATCTCTGAAAATGGCTTCCAAGAGGATTTATTCCATCACTTATCCAGTCACTGAGGTTAGGTAGACCAGCTCATAGTTTCCTGGATCTTCTTGCCATTTTCAATGATGAGTCTGACATATTTATTTTTTTTCCCAGTTATTGAGAACCTCCTCTAAAATTCATGACCTTCTGAAGAGGTTTGACAACAGCCTTGCAATGATATCAGTCAGCTACATCAGCACCTTCAGATGCATCCCATCTGTTCACAGAGATTCGTGTATGCCTAATTGGCTAATCCTGTCTTTGGGTAATAGAGATGATATTTCACCCTCTTTTCTCTCTGGAAAAGGGAAAAAGATAAAGTAGGCATCCAAGCATTATTAGAAAACAATGCAGCACACACTCAGATATAATGTTAATTATAGATTTTCCATCTCTTTGCCCAGTTAGGCCCAAATGCCACTGAAACAAATCTGACAACTTGTATCAGAAAATTTCAGCGGTTTAAAGGCTTTTGAAAATAGATACAAAGCAGCTATTAGGACTTCAACGTACAAATTTAGTGAAACTCAAGCAGTGAAGAAATTTGTTAGTGAATGTATACAACTTAAAAAAGATAGAGCCCTTGGTAAAAGAACTTGAAGATTCTAGCAAACGCACATATGCTGATAACCCTTGCTGTGATTAACAATAATCACATGCTCAGATAAACAAGAAATACTCCTGACTGGAACTAAGGAATAAAGAAAAGCCAATAGAACTTAGATGGCAAGTTAGTTCTGGAAAGTGACTGTATTAAAAGAAGAATGAGGTCTGGAAAATTAATATGTGCAGAGTCAATAGACCACAGTTACAGAATATCTTTTAAGAAAATATGTTTTACATACATTACTTTTCTTGTTGATAACCTTACATATTTTCATTATATCAGTTCTTCTTTGTCCAATTTGTACTTTAAACTTTCTAGGTCCTCTTTCTTAGTTCAGCTCCTAATTTATGATCATCATCAGGTTTTGTTCGTATTCTACTTTTGCAAGGCATATTTTGTTATCTTTATATAATACGTTAGTTTAAAAATAAGAAAAAATTGATTGCAACTAAATATACCGTAATTTCTCTCCACAACAATGCTTCAGCATTCACCTTAGAGATACAACTTTGAACTTTTCTTTTATGAAGAAAAGGACAGCTCAGTAAAGGAATATGACATTAATTACAGTAAGAAAATAATATAAAACGAACGAACCATACCATAAAAACACAGGGTAAGAGTACAAGCCAAACTCCAGTAAAATAACATAAACCACAATATTAAGTATTTACAATAAATGTTAATCTATTAACTCACTTTTGTCAGAAGTTTAGGAGGTGTTATTCAGGAATTTTATGGATTTTCTTTTTTTTTAATTTCAATATAAGCAATCAGAAGTAGCAAACTGAAGGCACATGTTCAAGTTTTTAGTATGAACATGAAAAAATCTGGTTTTAGGAGTGTCTCTCATCTTTATAAGACAGAAAGAAAACAGTAAATAAATTTTGGAGAAGTATGAAAATTATTTTAGGACATTTGCAGTTTATCAGGTATGTTGTGATTCTGAAAATGAGTGAGTGTAAATAAAGGAAGATTTATCTCACTTAAAATACTACAGCTTTATAAATACACACATATTTTATACACATACACAGAAAAATTTTTTTTGCTTCCAACTGTGGGCAAAACAACAATTATTTGCTCATGTGATACAAATAAAAGTGCTCAGAAAAATACCCTATATATATTCTATATTATATGTTTTATATTATATTTTCCATGTAATGGTCCAGTATGTATTTTACTTCAGTGAAGCAGATGCAAAGATATGCCCACATCACCTAACTACAAGTGATGAATATGATATAGTCCTGTTTGCCCTTCCTTTCATTGCTTTTTCTTCTGAACCATCACAGATAATCTTTTATTCTGTCCTTAATTTTCTGATGACACTCCATAACTACGTTTATGAATCTTTGATTCATGCAATCTTTCATCTTTCTAATGTGGCTTGGGGAACCACCATTTTTACAGGAATCATAAGCTAACAAATCATGCCCAGCAGTCATATGGATCTTTAATTATTGTGTTATTAACATTGAAAATTGGTTATAATAAAATCTTTTTGGCAAATATAGTCCCTAAATCCTTTTAAAATACAACAAATCAATAATGTTTAGCATTTCATCAATGCTGAAACATCTGGCCAAGTGTTATCCACTCTTATGTTGGTGTGTTGTGTATTACAGCATTTAATCAAATGGAAACTCAAAAGCTGGTAAACTAAATGAGGAAGCAAACACCTGGAAGAATACGGAAGAGATAATGAAGTGTCTTTTTTTTTTGGGCAACGCACACAATCATGTTTTCAGCACACTGACAAGTGTGTCAATATCAAAATACTTTACATTCTGCATGACTAAAATACTATTCCTAAATTATGTACTTTAATCTTAGGGAAATGTTTTTAATCACTAATTTTAATATGCTTTTTAGTTTATAATTCTCACATAAGTACTGACCTGTTAGATGTCTAAGCTTCATACCCACTAGAGACGTAGGCAGTAAACTAAAGTGAAATGCTCTGAACTTCTAGTTTTTCAGTTCACCAAAGTGTTTGTTAAGAATGATGAAAAAATCAGTCTAAATTCCATTAAATATTTTGTCTGTTCACAAACACATTCCTCATATGTTGGTAACTCCAGATAGACTCCCAAATTTAGAAGTGAACTTAGAGATGAATCCCACCAGCATGAATTCAAAATATTTTAAAAGTATTTAAATTATTTATATTTTTCAGACTCCAAGGCTTTTTTCCTTCAGTCATTTATTCTGTCTGCTTATCTCCTTCAGAACTCTTCCACGTTCACCATTAGTCTTCAGTGCCCATTTTAAATAACAAACTGTGAGCTGTCAAATTCTAAATTTTTGTTTAAAAATAGTTTCTGTTTTCATAGTTGTGATTAAAGGTGCAGCAAAGATGTTTTGCAAGTCCCTTAAGCAATCCTTGTATAATAACAAGGATGCAATTTGCATGAACTTTAGCAAAGCTTTCAACACAGCCTCCCACAATATCTCAGTTGTTGTGATATGGATAGATGTACAGCTAGATGTATAAAAGTTGGCTTAATTTTGGGGCTAATAGGGTAATGATTAGTGGGTCATCATCTAACTGAAGACCAGTAAACAGTGGAGTAGCACAAGATTGTGTGCTGGGACCTCCCCTCTTTAGTATCTTAATCAAGAACATAGAGAAAGCAACACAGTGCAATCCCATGAAGTTTCTAGATGACACCAAACTGAGGAGACAAGCCAATAGAGTTGAGAGTACAGCTGCTATTCAGTGCTGAAGGAATCTGATGATATTCTACAAGGGCAAAGGTCAAGTCCTACATCTAGGAAGGAAAAACCCCTTGCACGGATCAAGGCTGGGAATAGGCTTCTTGAGGAGCATCTCAGCTGCAAACAACCTGCAGCTTTTGGTAAGTTGAACATAAGCCAGCACCACTCAAGTAGCAAAAAAGGCAGAAGACTGAGAGGAATTATTATCCGCCTTTACTCAGCACTCGTGAAATCTATCTTATTCTGAGTTCTTCAGCGTAAAAAATACCAAGATCAACTGAAGTGAGTTCATCTGTAGGTTGTTGTCAGGGACCTGGAATTCTTGACCTGTAAGGACAAGCTGAGAAATGCAGGCTTGTTACACCTGGAGAAGGGATGGCTTTGGAGATACCTCACAGCAGCCTTTCGATAACTAGGAGTGAGTTATTAAGATGGAGTCAGGATTTTTGCCATAGTGGATGGCTGGAAGAACAAAGACAGCAGACATTACTTGGAACTAGGCGGCTTTAGAATGGAGAGTCTGCATCAGGAGATCAAGCACTGGAACTGGTTATATTAGGCTGAGTAAAGCCCTGCACAACTCACTGAGGTCATAACTGAGCCTGTTTTGAGCAGTAGATTGGACCAGAGACCTTCTGAGGTGCCCTCCAAGTTGAATTTTCCTGTAATCCTGTCATTCAATGATTCTATATGATTAAGTTTACTAAAGACACTCTCTCTTCTTTTGGTTGTCAGATATAATAGCAGAAGACATTCACATTTGTCAGGACATATTGCAGCTCTTTTCTGTGCATAAGATAACAAAAACAAACATAGCACCATGTGGTTTCCATTAGAAAGTGATGACTTTTTAATGGAGCAAAATAAGGATGACTTGTACAGTACAGCTTCCTGTCACTTTTACAAGGATTCCCTGTACAGGAGACTGTTCTCAGGTACTGGTTGTTTGTAAATGTAAAACACAGTTACTTGAGTGTCTGTTTAAATTAAGCCCATATGCTGAGATATCAGCTCCCCAATGTCCAGAATATATGGCTACCTACTGACATTCCCAACACTGACAGACATTCCACATGTAATGTAGTTAAATTTAGATGTCCAGCCTTGAATAGATGGTACATGGGCTGCAACCAAGTCAAAGATGTTACAGTATTACTTAATCCACTCTGTGATACAGGGACCCCAAAATAGCTCACGTTACCTGGACACTCTTGATATACAGAAACTACTGTCCTGGTAATAGGTGGTAGATACAACAAATATAATTTTGATTATACTAGAAACCAACATCTACATCATAAATATTCCTGATAACTGTTTTTCCGTCTGTCATATAAAGTCCTGAGTAGCAAGCAGGATAACTAACAAAGAGGTACAAAAATGCTGACTTCATCTTATGAAAGCTTGTCTCCATAAAAATGTTCTTTTCTGCATGCACAGGTTTTTAGGGAACACACACGAGGACAAAAAGCCCTAAGAAACTCAACAAAAAACACCAAGTTAATTTTGTCCTTCTACAGCTCCCTTAGATGTTTAGCCAGAAAATATTATTTTACTCCCAAATGAGGCTATAATTGTACCTAGTGTCAGCAAACCCAAATTGCAATGAGAGACCTAGAAGAACAAATGTAATCATATATAACAGGCAGAAAGTCCTCCAGTGCAACTGGCTGCATGTGTCACTATGGGGAAAGATTCACACTCTCAACAAAGGAAGTGAATCTGATAGACTATATGACATAGCATAGCATTTTGGAAAAAAAAAATACTTGTCCAGCAAGCTTCAGTTACTTTTCAAGATATATTTATATCAGATGGAGCATGGATTTACAAGAAGTGATATGAAATATTTTTCTTGACATGAGGGTACCTACAATTAACCTGCATATAGTGCACAACTACTATGATGCAACTACTGAGAAAACTCTTCTGACTCGTGTAAAATGCTCGAAATTCCAGAGTATAAATGCTGCAGATGTACCATTTTCAAAGTAGTCATGAAAAGCTAGATATTCAGTGTACTAGGCCTTCTTTTTCCTTCTTTATTTTTTCCCCAAAAGAAATGTTGATCTTTTCATTACCCATCACTGTCATAAAAGTAATATAGTGTATTCCTTTATATAAATATTGTGAGAAAATTTTTAAAACAACTGCTACATGTCTATGTTTTATACATGCTATACACAGCCCACACAAGAGCAACTTGCTTATCCTACCTCACCTAGCTACAGCTTAAAATGCAAAGATGTGATGGAAACAGCTAAATAATGATCAGTAGTGATACATTTACTTACTCTTTTCCTTATTTTTACTTACCTGGCTAAAGAATAATGGGAAATTGAAAATGGAATCATTCAAGTTGCATTGAGAAGAGAGAAATAGCCTGAGAAGATATACTTGCAAGGATATTAACTGCTATGATAAAATGAAGATCTGCCTACCCAACAGCAGACACCTACTCAACTGCACAACCTCAGACACTATTAACTTCTGTTTGACTTAAGTTTGTACAGATTTTTGACAGTTGTCTCCCTAGCACCATCTGGTGTCTGCCAACTTCCAACTTGTGAGAATGCACCAAACAAAAAATTAATTCAGCTCATGGCCTCATGGGACAGAAAAATTTACAGCAGGCATCTTCACAAAGGCTCAGAAGAGTATTAGGCAGGTCGGAATGAGCATACATTATGTTTATGATTTTCACCAACCTGAGTTGGGGAAACATTGAACAGACACATATTTGCCCATGTCTCATGTATTCCCTGTATTGGAATATGAAGGATGATAGGAACATGGATGTTCCTGTTAGCTGGATTTTATATATGAAATATTTCCTTCTTCAATCGAAATTTTACTCAGAAGATATTCTAACTACATTTCAGCTAAATGCTGCTTTATTCACCTTCAGCTCACATGGCATATGAAAAAAATCATATAATATACACTTTTCCAATAACACACTGAAAAGATATTCAGTATAGCCTTAAGAACTGGAATACTAATTTTTTTTTTACAATGCGTAGTTGTCGACAGCAATATCAGGGCACAGCTGTGCAGAAAATGATTTAACCTCCATATGTTGCCACTGTGTATACTATACCGTAATTCATAAATATGAAGAGTGAAAGTATCATTATTCAATGTCCCTGAAGAAAATGAGAACCTATGTTTTTTTAGCATTCATCCGTTTTACAGAATGGTTTAATTTAAGTTTAATGTATGCATTATTTTGTCTTAGGGGAAAAAAAGCAACCTTGAAAGGGTGTAATAATC